TTTTCCCCCTTTGAGACAGATGTACCCCATCTGTCGCCAGCAGGCCTGGTGTTGTGTAGACCGACTCATGATGAAAAAACACAAAATTTTGCCAGTGACACCAGTCCTGGAGCCAGGTATTGATCTGCTGGCTCTTCCTGTCTCTTCCCTCATCATTCCCTGCAACAAGGATAGAGGAGAACGCCACTTGTGCTCCTGATCCTTTAACCAGTTGTCCCAAGGCCCTCAACTCTCTTTTGATTGACCTTGGACTTCTAGTTGCAACTTCATCACTGCCTACATGAAAAAGCAATAATGGATAATAATTTGAGGGCCGCACCAGGGTAGGAAGTTGCCTCACCACATCTTTAACCTGGGCCCCAGGGAGTCAGCAGACTTCTCTAAGAAGTGGGTCTGGTTGACATAGTGGACCTTCAGTTTCCCTCAGAAGGGAGTCTCCTGTGACAGTGACTCATATTTTTTTCTTTATGGAAGTGGTTTTGATGCAGGGTGTAGGCCGAGTTAACCTTGGCGACACCTCCAACCTAGATGAACCATCGGCCCCGTCACTGTTTGGTTCCACTTGCAGAGCTTCGTTCCTATTATGCACGGGCATCTGGGAAGGTGGGATGATCATGGAGGAGACGCACCTGCTGCACCGGGCAGGAACTTCGTCCATTGTCCCCTATCCCTTAAGTCACTGTGTTCAGCCAGGTGGAGAGAGGATAGGAAATCCTCCATATCATGGGTCCTGTCTGCCTGCTGGGCCTGTCTCAGGGAAAGCAGGGTGCAATTCCAGTACTCTCTCTCTCTCTCTCTCTCTCTCTCTCTCTCTCTCTCTCTCTCTCTCTCTCTCTCTCTCTCTCTCTCTCTCTCTCTCTCTCACTCTCTGATACTCCTCAACCTTCTCACGGCCTCCGGGACCTCTGCCACTAAGTGGAGGAACTCCTCTACCTGGGCACACCTCCCATGGGTGTGCTCACTGCTGCTGTCTGGTCCTGGCGTAAGAGCAGCGGACACCCTGCAGCCTGACACCTGGGCAGGCAAATGTACAAGATAAGATACAACTAGGCAAGACTATGAAAGTGTAGTAAGAAAAGTCTTTGGTGGTGATAGGAAGATTAGAGAAAAACTTGGTGCACTGCAAAACAAATGAAGCTGAGAAAGCCAAGAAGGTCCTAATGTCTGCTTAATGGCGTTTTTCTCTCTTGTCCCCCCTCCCCCATTTTTTTAAAAGTCTTCACTGGGAAAGGTTAATGGTGATGAGGCTCTTGGCACAGTTAGTAGCTATAACATAAAGATAAAAGTCAGGCAGGGAGATAATGTCTAAGGATAAAGTTTCATGAGGTAGGTGACTAGATTTAATCGCTTGCTGTTACCAAAGGGGGAGATCCCACATGCTTTGCCCTGTACAGACACAAACACCCATAAACCAGCATTGTTAGCCACATGCTCTCATTCTTTTGTGCTGGCTCTGGCATTTGTCTGTCCCTGTGCTGAACCAGTTCAGCTTGCTGAATGGGCAAAAAGCAAATCCAGGAACAGTTACAAGAAAAAGCGATAGTTTTTCCGTCAGTAGTTGACAAGAAGAAAGTGGAGAGCATTCAGAAAAACACACAGTAATTCTGTTGTAGGCAACACTAAGGCAGCCTCCCCTGATGTAGTCTATCCACCTACAGACACTGTCAATGAAGAAGGGTGAGGGCTAATTAAGAGTTCAGAGAAGGGCAACAAAAATTAATAAAATCACAGAAAACACGACTAACAGAGACAACTCTGGTACTTCAGATTATTTATTCCAAAAAAGATTGATGAGAAAAATGACAACAGTCTTTATTCAGGTAAGCAGTACATAATAAAGCAAAAGGAATTAAAAAGGAAAGAAGCTGACTATGAAGACTGTCCCTAGAGGAAGATGCCAGTCTGGGGCATTGGTCTGCAGAGAAGGTAAGAATGAAAGCGGAAAAATCTTTCATGGGATTGGGAAGGTTAGAGAGACAAAATATGGGAAAATATGAAGTGGAGAGGCCAAAAATAGAAGGGAACAAAAAGTGATGAAATATAGCTGACTGTTGTGAGGAAAAGGAGAGGCCCACTGAGGGATAATTTTTGATTAGTTTTTTCAGCCAGAAAGCACTACTGGCTTTAATTTCTAGAATAAACAATTAATTTTTTTTAACTCTTTATTTACTGACATAGTAGTTTATTCTGGTTACAAACTGCAGCACTCTGATATGGAATAAACTCATGTAAGTCAGCAGAAGAAGACATTATTTCCAGGAATGACACCAAGAGAAATCAATTTTCAAATTAAAAAAAAACCTGCCAGGTAAATTGTACATTTTTGTCATCTTCTGTGATCACGTTTGTTCCCTAGCCAAAATTACTCATTTTCGGAGTCTGCCTCCAGGTCTTCTTTAAAAAGTACCTACAACCTGGTTTGCAGAAGCTGCAACTCAGACTGTAAACGTAGAGAGCTGTCATGCCAAATACAGTGTTATACAATAGAAGATGCCACAACAAAAAGCACCAGCCAGAACTGAACCAGAATAAACTCTTGCAAAAGGAATGGGGTTCTTTCTCTCCTGATGTTTGCAAGTCGTGACTCAGTATCATTCTGGAATATGTGTGTTACTAAAACAGAAGGATTTTATGTCAGCGCAAAGTTTTTGCTAGGCTATCTAATAAACAAAAGATTGTAAACATAAAACTGGTTTCTTTTGCCTCACAGTCAAGGAATGCATGCAATTTAGGATGCCTGCGGACACTGATTCCTGGTATTATTGCTTAACTGATTATTACTTCATATGGAAGATAGAATACCTTAAAAAATTATCTAAGCACAACAAGCTGAATTTTGCTGGAACTAGAGTCAGATTGCCCTGCCCTGCCACTCACCCCACTGGGAAAAAAATAATGAAACTTCTCTGTTTTAATAGACAGGATGTCTTTAAAGTAGCTGGTATTTGTCGACTGTCAACGTGAAGCGCTTGTGAAAACTGCCATGCCATGTTTGTATTTTTATTTATGCATATGAGGTTTCCAAACGACGTCTCCTTGAAACCACACTGCGCACGACACGCGTTTGACGCTGCCCGTGCCAGAGCACTGCCAGTGCTGAGCTACCAGAGCTCGCGCAACAGTTACGGCAAGAGTCAGAGCAAACACCCCAGCGGCTCGGCGGCACCTCCGGCCTTTCCTGAGACTCCCCATTTTTTCCAACCCAGAAAAGAGACAGATGACGCAATGCGGCACGACGCGGCCGCCCAACCAGCTGCAGCGGCGGCAGGTGACGACGCCCGGGCGG